AAGTATGGTGTCAATCAAAAAAAAAATCAGCTTTGCCATATACAGGGTTCTTCTTTTAATAAAAAATACTTTTCTGGTGGAAGTATCAACCTGTCCTTGATTTCTGGAAGGAGGATGGTTTTGCTGGGTGTATTTGAAGGATAGCCAATATCTCATTTCTGTCTCATAGATGAGCCATTGCCAATTTAAAAGTTATAAATTGTCATCTCTCAGCAACCCATCATGTTTCTGAGTCTATCAGAAACATTTTAATACTAGTGTAAGACAAATATTGTTTGGAGATAAATCTATGATGTATATCTATATATACTCTCATATGCAGCCACAAACACGAATGAGAGAGAGAGGGAGGGATAGGAAGAGGAGGAGGGGAGAAAAGACCAAGGAAATGAACAGAAACCCTCTTACCCTGAGCATTCCCTTCTCTGAGCTTCCAATCATCTTCATCTTGCACATCTTGTCTCCTTCTAGCCGTTTCTTCTCATCCAGTTTCTTCCTAACATTTAAAATCCTTTATGAGTCTTTTCCTGAGCACACTGGTCCTTTGCGGTCTTCTTCCTCGTGTCCTTCTAGCAATCTAATGCCCCACATGACTTAGCATTTAACTGCACACTTTTCCTGCCCTCTGAATGTTCCATGTGGCTGTCTTGTCTCCCCCACTGGATGACTCAAGGGCAAGGACTCTGGATCCTTCTGCGTTACCACATCCTCTTGTTATGCTGTACCGTAAACGCTAAACACATGAGCAGTGATAGACTGAAACAACCAAGTTTCCCATTAGCTTGTCATTTGGATTAAGAAGTTATAATTGGTTCTTAAAATTCAGGGCTGAAAACTTTTAGAATGTTTCTGTGCACTCTAGACATCCATGTCCTCTATTTGAAATATAATATAGCTTAGTGGTTAAAGCCATACTGTCTTTGAATCTCAGCTCTCTGATTTACCAGGTGTGTGATCTTGAGCAAGTAATATAAATGCCCTTTGCTCAGATTTGCTATCTATAAAATATGGATAATTATAGCATCTAGCTCACAGAACACTGTGACAATTAAATGAATTAATTCATGAACAGCATATACCATACCTGATACACACAAGGCACTCTACAAATGATGACGATTTTGCTATGGTTGAATGAAAATCATAGCTTAGACTTCTAAATAGGCAACTTACACAAAATGTTGGCTGATATTGGTTTGAAGAAACCAAAGTTATTTTAAGCCCAGTTTCTAGAAGATAGTCTGTTTAAGAACATATGGATGACGAGGTCTAAATTAAATGACAGAAGGTTTATTCCAAGCACAAGGCAAGAATGATAAACATTAGCCTGTGTCTAGTCTAGAATGTAGTATAATGTCTTCCCCAATTCTAGATATCTTTTTAGATCCTGGCTTAATAGAATCTAGGTCAGATTGATAAGGGAAAATTTATTTTAGGATCCACCCTAATATAATAACCTGCTGTTCAGGGGTTAACATGCCCAGAAGCATATGTTGTTAAGCTGACAGAAATGATGTTTACCTTGGGGGGAAATATATACATATTATGTATATGTGTATTTGTAATATATCCATATGTATACACAATATGTATATCTGTATATGATTTCATATATATGAAATAAATTCATAAATGTATGAATTTATAAAGTGTGAAAAATTATTAAAATAAAAACTAGGCCAAGAAGAAGAGTAAGTAATAACATTAGTTTCAAGTAACTGTGCAAGTTAGAATGTTCTTTCTCTCGGCACTGTCTGCCTGTGTGTTCTCACGTGGTAGCTCAGTACAGCGCAATTCATTTGCCTGCAGAAATGAAGTGAGCAGTAACAAAGACAGACAGTGGAGTGTGATACACATACCATGAGTTTAGAAGTCAAAGCGCATTGGGGGAATCCTGCTTTCTAATAAAATACTTGCAGAAGTGTCAAATGCTAGTTCTAAGAGACGAGTGCATTTATTTAGCAGGCTTAGTAATCAGACAGGCCTGCTTTTGAATCTGAGTTCTGACACTCTGTAAAACCATTTAACCTCTCTGAGCCTCAGTTTCCTCATTTATAAAATAGGAACAATAAAACTCTCTGGAGGCCTCAAGGAAAGAGCAGAGAGTATTGAATTTCTCCAGCCCTCGGCCACCTCTGTACCTCTTCCAACTAATCTGATGAGTTAGAGGCCAGGTCCCTTTGGGGGCCATTTTCACTGGTGGACGGTCGCTGTGCAAAAGAAAGACATGCACACAGGGGGTCTGTCTCGAGCATGTCCCCTCTAAACTGCTGGTGCCGAACTGCCCCATGGCCTTCTTCCCAGGGGAAATGGAAAGGTTGAGGCATTTCAGCCCTTTCATTAGAGCCCTGGATTGGGGTTCAGAGAAGAACCTTAGATGATGTAAATACCACATTTTTCATGTCCCTTATGCATCTATCTACCTCTTAGAGCCTCATTTGGAGGCAAGGTGTGTAAGATAAATTATAAATGGGTCCCCTGGGCATATCATCATCTAATAATACCTATCTCAGTATAACGCCTAAAATGTATTTTATAATGTTTTTTGTAAAAACTAAATGAAATAATGTTCTTAAAGCACTTAGCACAATATCTGCCACATAGGAGAATAAACAAGTAATATCAGTTTGTATTATTTTATTATTACAATTAGAAAACAAAGACTCAGAAAGATGGAGTAGTTTCTCTAAATTTATTTAATGGGTTAATGACAGAATGAAACTCAAACCTGGAACATCTATTCTCACCATAACTTCTTCTTGTGCTTTCGTTTCCCTCCTGCCTTTTGTGCCTTCTGAATTCTGAGCAAACTCTTAGCTCAACTGCCTCTCACGCAGGCACTGCCAGACCAGACTGGCGAGACCGCCAGCCTCTGACTGCGCCCTTCCCTCATTACCAGCTTGCCTTCCTCCTTGGACCCTCCCCTTCAGGTTTCTCGCAGCTTTCTCCTCTCCTTGCACTTGTAACCACACTGACACCACCATTGCAGTGCTCATCCCCTTACAACCAGTTCCCAAGGCGGTAGCTCTGCTCCCAGTTCTGTCTTTCACGCTGAATTTTACCCCTGGCTTTACATTTGCCTGCCACGCATTTCCCAACAGGTGTTTTGCTGGCAACTTTAAGTCAAAAGCAGGAATTGTTACTTGCTCACCCTCTAGCCCCACTCTCATCCCCAATGTCACCTTCTGACATTTCCAGCTTTCATAAAGGAGGCGCTCTTCCTTCCTCTTTAGACTCAAACCCTCACCAGGTTCTCCCTTCCCCTTCTTTCAGTCCAATGCTTATATGATTTATCATCGTTCTAGAGCTCTGCTGAACAACATGGTAGCCGCTAGCTACATGTGACTATTGAGCTCTTAAGATGTGGCTGCTCTGGATTGAGACCAATAGGTACAAAGTGCACACCAAACTTTGAAGACTTGGTACCATAAACAAGAATACAAAATATTTCACTAATACTATTTTATATTGATTACATGTTGAAATGATAATGTCTTAGATGTATTGAGTTAAATAAAATATAAATGTTAAAATTCATTTCTACTATGTCTTTTTGTCTTGTTTTAATGTGGCCACCAGAAAATTTAAATTATATATATGGATTGCTCTATATTTCTACTGGACAGCATTGCTCTAGATCATTTTAGTCTTCCTTCTCAGCATTTCTTACATCTCTTTCATGCCAGTCTTACTATCATTATCTAGTTCAAGCTCCTTACAATGCATCCTAGCAGATTTCTCTGCCTGTGCAGTCTCCCTGTGCCAGTCTCCCTCAGCCTTGCTGCAGTCTGTCTCCAAATCAGCTTTGGTAATGAAAGGTTCAGATCAAACCACTCCCTACTTAAAATAAAAAAAACAATTACTTCTCTCTGTCCATCAAATAAAATCCAAACTGTTACAGTCCCCTGCTCCTTGCTCTTCACATATTAGCTGTCATGCTTTAGGACAACCAGGAAATGCAGAGCAAGGTGAAGCTGTCTTTAGCTGGAAGAGTCTTACTTTTCCTGTGTATGTGTGTGTGTCGGGGTTGGGGGGGAAGAGCAACAGAACCTCATGCAGCGATCTGGCCATTCAGTACTATTTTCTGAGTGTCAAAAGATGGGTGGAGCAGACGCAAAAGGTTTTACTCTTTTAAACTAAAATCAAACACTGTTTTAATATTAGATCTTATTATGATTATTAATATTTTTTCAGATAACCTCAGTTTGTTAGTCAAGACCAAAGCATTCTATTATTTCCTTCACCATGAGCCCTACATACCAGCTCGTCTTGATTACTGCTAGTGCCATGATTGTTTGTACTAATCCCACACCCTTGCTCAGGCCATTGCCCTTGCATGGAATACCAGGTAGTCACAGACTTTTGGAACTGAAAGCGAAGTTGGAGATCATCCAATCTAATTCCTCATTTCATAAATGAGGGCCCTAAGGTCCTGGAACTCATGAAGTGAATTTTTGACAAAGGCCAGAACCCAGATCTGCTACTTTCTAGTCCTAGGCTTCTTTTATCACATCACTCATTCTTATTCTTTTCTTCTGATTTTTCATATTGAAATTCTACCTATTCTTCACAATCTAAGATAAATGGCACCTCCTCCATGGCGTCCAACCAGCAGTGACTTACCACCAGCCTGCTGTCTGCCCACACTCAGTCTGTACCCTGCTGGAGTTTGTGGTCTTCAGCTCCCTTTTTACATTTTAAGAAGGTCCAAGTAATGATGCTATCTGACATAGTATATGTCCAGTGAAATGCCTTCTACATCGGGAACTCTCTATGCATATTTGTCAAATAAATGATTGAACAAAGGAACAAAACATAGCAATTTGGAGCCTTGACTAAAGTCAAGAAAATATGAGAAAATTGAGGTGTGAAAATGTAAAAAGAAAAAAAAAATACGCCATGATGCAATGCATTCTGATCTCCTTAAACAAAAACTTCCACATATAATTCAAGGTTTGTTATTGATTTTTCAAAAATTAATTTTACCTCTCCTCTCTAAGCCTTTCCTTTAGCAAGAAGAAAGGAATCAGTGAATTATAGCAGAGACCAAGTATTAGGGATTTAAAGCTCAAGTCTGGAAATCCATGTGTCTCCTCAGAACAGAGTTCCAGCTCAGAGTTCCAGCTCAGTGAGTGCAGACAGGCTCCCAGCCCAGCACGCCCAGTCGCGCTAAATCGAAGAAGAGCTGGTTAGTGTTTGTCGGTGGATGTTTAAATGTAAAATAACCCATCACCCAATTCTTCTATTCCAGTGTGTTTATTAAGTAAATGTTTATTATACTAAATTCCATTTCAAACTGGGGGTCAGGGGGAGTGACCTTTAAAAAGCAGGAATTTTATATATCTCACATATGAGATTAGCTTAAAAGTAACAAAACCATCAATACATTTCTAATTTTAAATATGTTGTTTACATAGGACTGAAAGGAGGGTTAGAAAGTAAAACTTAGCCCCAGAGGAAAACTAGTTTAAGGAAAATCCACACACACACAAAAAAACACCGAAATTCACTTAAGGAGGACCTACTAACAATGATTAAAATGAGACAAGAGTGGATAGAAAGAAAGGAAAAGCCAGAAACAGGCCTTCCATGTTTTTGCCATTAAGAGTCAGACCATGGATGTTTATCACAGCCAGTGTTCGGTGGCCATGGGGATAAGTATTGTAGATATTTAGACTCTTGACTTAATTCACTCCAGTGCTATGCAGCAATTACTGAATATTTATTATATGTAAAGTAGGGTGCTGGCTAGAAAATATAAGGTAATTAAAAATGATTACAAATAATTCCTATCCTCAAATTAACCAGAAGTGTCAGGCAGTCTGGGTACTGTTCATAGATCAGTTGAGCTGAGTATCAGCCCCCTCCCAATTCATGGACATCAGCACTGATTCCTGGGGGAAGCATGTGTCTGAATTACCTAGATAACGCTTTCCATTCATCATTTAACTCATTTAATTTGTCTTTCTACAACTAATGGTTCCTAATTTGGCCTAAATCCAAGCATTTTCTTTAAATCCATGTCAAAGACATTTCTAGAAATGAAACTTTAGGTAGTTCTGGATCAGAAGAACACATTGAAAACATCAGTAACATTTACTCATGTATTATATTTTGCTAAATTCTATGAAATGCTTTAAAATCATATTCACTGAAAAATCACTAATGGATAAGAATTTTGTTTCTATTAATAGAAGATAAATTAAATTACAAATCAGACTTAAAGGGCATCTTGAGCAAAATTTTACCAAAATGTTAGCTTCTTCAAAAGTTTTTAAGTAGTCAGTAGTCAGAAGCTGAACCTTTTCTGCCTCTCAAATAAAATGCACACTCTTCAAGAGTCGATACTAGGTTTTCTATCTCTGTAACCCTGATGAGGTCCTCACACAGTGCCTGATGCCCATTGACACTCAGTGATGTGTGTTGATGAATGAGTTAATTAATGAATGAACAATGTGACCTTGCAGTGTTTGGAAACTTTCACCTTTCACATTTAAATTACCTGGAAAAGTAAGCAAAGGTAGAGAATGACTCTGCAATGTATTACAGAACAAGCCAAGAAAACAGGCAGGTATTTCCCAAGGCCAAAAAGTGAAGTTACGCTTTGGGAAGAGCAACTGGAAGAGGAAGGCAGCTGACCCCAGATGCTACCCCACCAGACTTCCCGGTGATACCCTGTAAGACGAGCCAATTGTAGACATCTCCCCAGAGGTGTTGGCTCCATAGAAACCTCACCACCAAAAGCTGTGGCCAATAACCTGATAGCCTGGAAATCTATCCAGCATACTGAGCAGAGCTATCCAATTCCAAACAGTCAACGGGATTTGTTGCCAAAGATTCCTTTACAAAAGTTAGAGGACATATCATTCTCATATTTTGCCCTCCTTGGTGAGATTTTTAAATAAACACATAGTTTCATTCCTGGACTCACTAGCTGGGTATTCTTTGAAACTGCAGTTACAGATCACTCAGAGGAACAGGGTGACCTCCGTGAAAGCTCAGGCTTGAAATTCTATGAGAAGGGTAAACACAAGATTAATGTTTTCCCTATTTAAAACTAATTTTGAACTAAAAATAGCTGCCGCAGTCTATACTTACCTAGGAGGGGAGGCCGACTGGCAGGGGCAGGGTGCTTCTCTGGAGAGCACGGCGGTGAATTCTGTCGCAGCAGGGACTGCGTTGCTGGGGACCATGAGACAGCATTGGTCACCTGTGCATGTATCTTGTTTTACCAACAAAAATGTAGGATTAATTTAATTATTTTTAGAACACAAACAGAAATTCGTTATTTTCAAATATTCATATTTTGGTATTTAATATTTTTGCAGGATTGTAAGCACTGAAAAGATCATCCATTTGTGTGCTGAATACTTCCATTTCTTACTTCCATTTTATGAAGAACATGAAGGAATTTAATTGACTTTACCAAGGTCACCAGCAAAGCAAGGATGAGAAACCTGAGAGTGAATCTTTTCTGCTTCCAAATGTTTTGAAAGTTGGCTCATATTAAAAAAAAAAAAAAAAAGGAGGGGTGATGAAAGAGCACTTCTGGGAATGAAAAAGAGAAACCTTGTCTCTCAATGCCTAGAGGTCTGTGCTAGTTCCAAAGATAAGCTTTTATTTTAGGCACAGAGCTCAAATTAATCATCACTTTAACTGGACATTTTCCTTATTATATCCTGAATTTTAAAAAATAAATTAAATAATCACAAAAGCATAATTTCCTAAAGTTTGCCCTAATTGACCTAATTTTTTAATGCCAGTCTTTTGTGCTTTGGCATGTATTTAAATAACTTAGTATTTCAGTGAGTTACGTGGGTAAAAAAATGTCTCCTGCATTGTAGTATTTATTGAGCCAATATTTTTTTTAATTTTTTTTTTATTTTGGCATATTATGGGGGTACAGATTTTAAGGTTTCAATAAATGCCCATTTCCCCCCTCCCCCTAAAAGTCTAAGTCTCCATCATGACCATCCCCCAGATGGTGCACATCTCACTCATTATGTATGTATATACCCGCCCCCCTCCCCCCTCCCACCTGAAGAGATACTTTTTTAATCATAACACCATACTGAAGACAAACTCTGTACCAACAGAAATAGTCATGAAAGTATTAAAACCAACTGCGTCACTATCCCACCTAAACCATCGGGAGAAAACAATACATCTCCTGCCACCTATGCATCCATAAGGGAACTGATAACTAGAATTTATTACAGATACCGAACACCTGGCAAACCAACCATCTAATCACGAAATTAGGAAGCCTAAAATCAAATAACCCCTCATCTGAAATCTAATAGGTGGACAACATAGAACTTGAACAAGTAGAAACTTTTGTGGATCTCTAATCCAACTCACATAAGTAAAATGGGTCGCGAAACAATAACATAGATAGAAATGCTCAACATCTCTAATCATTTGTTACATGGAAATGCAGATAATCTATAAACCATTACATTATAGCCGAAGATAAAATCATACACTGTTCATTAACCAACCAGTCGGTATGAGCATTTTGTGCCATATTTTATCCAACCTCCCTATAAAGTCTACATAATCACAATACACAACAATTAGTAGTAAGTCTGCACTGCTGAAGCAGAGGAAACTCTAATCGGGTGGACATTCAATACTAGTTTCTCTAACTGTCCTCTTATAGGAAAGCAACTGTTATGGGCAGCATATGCGCACTATAAGCTCATATCCCACAGCTGATAAATCTACCCTATATTGATTCCTCATCAATGCCCCTATTGTCTTCTAAGGTCTATTAACGTAGTCCCATTTGTCAATATGAAATACACATTGACTACTTCAATACCATAAAAGAAACCGACACCGTGCACTCCGAGATCGTTATTCTCCCCCAAATGGCTTAGCTGAGCCTCTATACTCTATTAATTTGGCATAAGGAACAGGACTCAAGTTGGAGAAAATCTAGCCAAGTGCTCCCATCAATTCTCATAAGAATGGATGAATTTAAAATAAAAAAAATGTGGTAATAACCTTTGTTACTTAAATGGTAACCAATAAACTTAAGTGGGATAAACTATCTCAGGCTCTCATAGAATCACAAGAGATGTATTTTTAAATTATATAAAAACCTTACCCTTTTGTGCCATAATGGCTACCATACATGAATGCGTATCTCAATTATATTTTCCTGTTAGAGCTGGAACCCATACTACTAATGAAGTATCCCAAGAATGGAAAAACAAGCACCAGATATATTCTCCAGCAAAGTGGTATTAACTTAGTAGCACCTAAGTGGACACATAGGTACGTACAAGTAAGGTAGGGTGATTGGG